GAAGCGCGCAGTGGAGCGTAAACTGAACCCAACTCCGTTTTTTTTTTAACAAAAAATTTTGGGTTTTTGCCTGTCTCTTGGAAATTATTAAACTTGGAAGGTTGAAATTTGCGGTGTGTACTTTACGTTGAAAAATGGAAACAATCGACCAAGCCCACACAAAGTTACGAGTACCTAAATTTTATTTGTTTCAATTTTTTGAGGTTTTATGCTTATTTGTCATAAGGCAAACAAGACAGAATGTTTAAAACTATTTTATACACTCCTCAAATGAAGATATATTATCTGCATAAAAATGGGTTAATTTTAAAACGAATAAGGTAGACTCCGCTATAAGTTTTTTCTTAATAATACCAGCAATATGGGTATCGAATAAAAGAACTTGGAGAGTAGAATGCGAAAAACGTAGTCATGGGTATGCGAGATTCGTACCCCGCCAAATGTAACTTTCATACGCTCCTTACGCTACATACATGGCAAGTGGTCGAGGAAGTGCTCCGATCCGAACCATTTTTAGTAACTCTCGCCATTGGGCCAAACAGATCGCGCAGTTGAATTTCATCAAAATGTCTTAAAAATTGCTACCTGTACGTTAAACAGACGAATAGAATAAAAGTAGAGAGGCGTGGACATAAGTTTATATCGATGCAGAGAATAATTTGTTGCACATATCGGGTATTGTTCCCACATGTTTAACATACCCTTGCCTCGTAAGTAGTGTAAGGTATAAGAAAATCATCGACAGTTTTAGATCATTGGACAGAGAAATTTTACTGAGTGTAAAACTAATTAACTACTCTCAGAACATCAATCAAAAGTTGTTTAAGTTTTTTAAGAGACAAACTTAGAAGCTAAACTTAACTAAAGATAGGAAATGCGATGTCAACAACTATTTCTTTCAATCAGTTAGTTTCAGCTCTCAACCGAAGTCATCAGTTCTAATTATAAAATAGATGTTGAACAGTGAAAAACAAACTATCGGGAGTTTTCGATGATCGGATTAGCAATGAAATTAATCATTAGTTCATTGATGCTATGTGTAGCGGCCACTACGGTCGTAAGCGGTACGTATCCGAAACGGGAACCGAAAATTTTTCGTAGAAATAAAAAGTGTTTTTGTGTTTTTTTAACGTTGTTGTTGTTGTTGTTTTCTCATAAAGCTAACGAATGCGGTCTTAACAGTGTATGTGTACCTATAACCGATTGTCCCCTTATCCGAGATAATTTCAATTTGATCAAAAGGAAACCCTATTGCAATTTGGATCGTCCCGGTGCAAATGTCTGCTGTACGAAGTCATCACAAAACTATACGCAACCGAAATATGTTGATTTCCGCGTTGTAAGAGGTATAGTAACTAATTTGCTTATTAACATTTTTCAATATTTCTAAGAGCAAGTGAGAGGAGATGGTTAGCTCTATAAAACTTCCGTAAGTACCTTCCATAAGCACGAGTAACACAATCCACGTCTGTCTGTTCATCCACCAATATATATATATATATATATAAATATATATATATATAGGGAAGCAGGAGAGAAAGGGAATTGAAAGACTACACCTTTTAGCTAATTCAGTGAGTGATTTGTTGTTGGTTTGCTGACTCACAGAGGCAGAAGCAGAATTCAAAGAATTGCTTGCAAAGATCGCATGCATTGGTTATAAAACTTTTTTACTTCACTTTTATTATATATTTATAGTGTCTCACGTTTTTCTTAGAGTGCAGATCCTACGACAGTCTACCACGTCTTCAAAATCGATTAGGAGAAGGATGTAATTATACATCTAACTTTGTTGGTCGCGTAGAAGCGGAAGGTAAAGAATTTCCTTTTATGGCATTAATATATGGCAAAAGCGGAGACGTGCCTTCTAAAATTTGCACTGGCACATTGATTAGCAAGAAATTTGTTTTAACAGCCGCTCACTGTAAGTCTGTCACTAAGTAAGTACATCGTACAACAGATTTATTGAATGTGTTTACGTAACCAAGTTCTTGCTTTTCATTGCCAAGTCCTCCCTTAACATTCGTGCGTTTAGGAGAATTGGATTATGTTACTAACGCGGATGATGCTTTGGTGCAAGATATTGAGATCAAAAATATTATACCTCATCCGCAATATTACAGAACACCACTAACTTTCTACCACGATATAGCTTTGATTGAATTGACAAAAGAAGCCATATTTAACGATTACGTACGTCCTGCTTGCCTATCTCTAGAAGATGGTAATGATTATCAAGAATTTCTAGCTGCGGGTTGGGGTTATCCTCCATCTACACCTACAACTCATTTACATAAAGTGAAATTGGATCGTCTCGACGATAACGTATGTTTCGCGAAAGTCGTACGTGACAATTTGGAAGAAGGCATTAATAATCGTACTCATATATGTACGATCCCTTCTACTGGCAATATCGGTAGTTGTCATGGAGATAATGGCGGCGCACTTCTTATTAATAGTCCCGAGTTTCCCTGCCAATTTTCCGTAGTAGGCGTTTACTCAATCCGTCACGAGGCTTGCGGAAATAAAGACCATCCATCCGTTTACGCCAGAATCAATTTATATATCGACTGGATACAACGTATCGTTTGGGATTGATGTAAAAAACCAATGCTTTTTAATAATTTGATTATACATAAATAATATCGCCTCTTGGTGCAAAAATATAAGTTTTTTTCCTAAAGAATGTATATTGGTATGTACTTAAGATACAAGGACTTATTAAAAACATTATTGCATAGAATATTCAATGGGTTATTTATTGCGAACACCAGCAAGATGTCCTTTCCAAAAAATAAAGTTTGACTAGATTACAACAACACAAGCGGTCAAGCGGTGATCAAATCTTTTCCATATTTTAGTTGCTTTACTGCTCTCAGTGCACATACTCTCTGCCTATACATATCATGTAATAAATCTTATCCATCACAGAAGTTCTTTCTCTTTATTTGGCTTTATTTATGGCGTGAAGCTTTAAATTCACGTTCAGTGTAAATGTCTCAAGCAGGCGAAGCGATCTTTGCTTGATTAACGAATTAAGACCACGTACGTAAATCATTCTCACATACTTTGCATCACAGTTGGTACGACTGAATCTTTAAAATATGTATACGAACAACAACGTAAATCTTGCTGAAAATGGTGGTGATCGGACCACTTTCTCGACCACTTCCGATTAACGATTTACGATTCATTTTGAAAAGTCGTTATACGGGAAAACGGTCGCATTATTTCAAATTACTAAAAATCGCTGAGTAATAAATAGTATTTCGATATTATTAATTGGTGTGAAAAGTTTGGATCCGAAGGACAAGTGTCGCTGCTATTCTTCTTGTGGAAAAAGAACTCTTACATTGCAGGAAGACCTAATGTTCAATATTCCATGGTAATAATTCGACGAAAATCGTACCAAATTTGGCTCAGGTGGTTCAATTTTTTGGATCCCTTCTCAAATAAAGATTCTGATGAAAAACAAGCCTTTCGTTGGCAGAAATATACAATCTGCCTCGTCAGAGTAAGTTCTTGTATAACTGAACTATATCAAATTTGGATCATGTAAGGCTCATTTTTCAACCTAACTTTACACAAGAGCTACCATGGAAGTGAAACCATTATATGGTCACAAACATTAACTTGTAGTTTTTCCTGACGGAGACAAGAGGAAATTAGTTTGTTATATTTTGACCCTATTACTTCACGTTTTCAGCCCCCTCCAATATGAAAGCTTTCATAAGAGTTATATATTTAAAATATAAATATAAAAATAATGTAAAATTTTCTATATATATTATCACAAAAATGAATGGAATATTGTATTAAACGAAATCTTGTAGGGTACCTAATAGTCGGCCTTCCTCGACTACACTGGACTTGCATAAAAATTTCATGTCCTTCTGGATTTTGCATACTTGCGCATAAACTTATTATGTCCTTGCACTGTAAGGTGTAGAAAATGCAACGTTTAAATTATCCTACGGCATGCTCTAGAGCATATCCTTTAAAACAAAAATATACAGTAGCAGTAGGAGTTTTCTTCAAATTTGCTCTTTTTGCAACGAGCATGACGTTGTCTTTGTAAGATGCTATAGAGGCAGTGTAAAACATCAATTTCAATTCTCCACCATATTAATAAGTTCTCAAT